ATGAAATATAAGTTTTAACTTTTAGAGCACTACATGGACAGACCCCTAAATATATTGCGGACATGTTGACCCCTTACTCTTCCTTTCGCACTCAGGTCAAAATCTCCTGATGGTTGCCAAAACCCGCCTTAAAACTCGAGGAGACCACTCTTTTCAGGCAGTTGCTCCCAAACTGTGGAATGCCCTGCCCTTGTCGTTGCGTGTGGCTGATTGTGTTGATTCTTTTAAAAATCAGCTGAGTACACTTCTATTCAGACAATCTTTCAGTTGACTGAGCTATTATGTTGTATGATTTGTATATTTTTTTTAACTGTTCAAATTGCTACTTTGCTACATGTAAAGCACTTTGTGATTTTATCTGTGAAAGGTGCTATACAAATAAAGTTTACTTACTTACTTGAATATATGGCAAAATATTCAATATATCTCCTAGCCCTAGTGCCATCTCAAAATTTAGAGACATTCATTACTGCTCTCTCCTCCTGCCCACACCCCCTTAGTCATGTTCCCTCAGCCCATTTCTCTGTCATTCTCTCTTTTTTGGCTCTCCGATTGTTCGCCTCCAGTTCTGTCCTCCCACTCTCTCTCTCTCTCTCTCTCTCTCTCCTCCCCACCATCATTCCCTCTACTGCTTTACTTCTCATGGCTCTCAGCGTGCAGTGTTATGTTCAGTGACTCCTCCATCTGTTCATCTTTTCCTCTTCCTCTTCCTCTCTCCCTCTTCTGCTTCAGTGGTCACTTACAGCCACGTGGTTCTGCTGTGTAGTTCACCGGGCAGCCAACACTCCATCACCAAGGCTGGAGACAGCTATGGGAATGATTTGATTGACCCAGGGTGTCTTAAAAAAACATTTGCTGTGACTAAGCACACTTTACATCCTTTCTTAAGTAAATGTAATTTTATCTTGTAATCTCCCTACTTTCACTTCCAGAATACAATATGGCTGATTGCTAATTAAGCTAATTATAGGATGGTACTTTTCTTTTAAAAAGTTCATTTTGTTTCACTTTGTGTATTTGAGGTGATGGTTCACCAAAAACCTCTTTAATCACAAACTCCAATCTTGTTTTTCCAAACCTGCATAAATATATTTCCTCTGCCAAACACAAAGGAAAATATTTTCAGAGATCTTTTTTTTTTTTTTTTAAAAACTGTTTTCGTCCATACAACAAAAGTCAGTGGGTTGAAAAACAACACTGGACTCAGTATCTTTCATTGTGTGGAGAATGCATTTTCTTTTGTGTTCTGCAGAAGAAAGGAAGTCATACAGTTTCAGAATGAGCCCTGTGTTAAAGTTAAAGCCGGATAGAGGATGCTCTCACTGTTTGGATTTGAGCATTACAGCAAGTGTCAAAGGAAAGAGAAATAATTGGATTGAGCTTGAGTCCAGTTTAAGTTAACTAGATTTTACAGATACCACAAATGTCCTATCTGAACTGGAAAGGCGAGACCTTCCCCCCAACAATAACCCAGTGGGTGACATTTGTGTGGTGGTGAAGTGGTTATGCTTTTGACAGGATTCGTTTCTAATTCTCCCGTTCTCTCTACAGTACAGTATGTTTTTCTCCTTTCTTTTTTCCCTCTCTCTCTCCCTTTCTCCTGTGCTCCAGCAGCTGCCTACATTATTATTTGTGGTGATGTTGCGTAACTTTGTTGGCTGTTGGCCTGAGAGCCATGCTAGACCTCTGCAGGGGTCAGAAGAAAGTGGGATAGGGATAGAGAGAGAATTAGAGCGAGTAAGCCAATAAGCAAGTGTGTGTGGCCAAGAGATCCAGGTAATAAACCTTTTGTGCTTTGAAACACCAGTACATTATATTACAGTTTCATGGGCTCATCCCCCCTGGTGGCCTGCCTGATGTTATATAATGACATGTTGGATGCACTTAGTAAAAGTCCCTTTATGGCAGGCCTTGATGCCAAACAGGGTAATGCTGTTTTCTCTAGGTTTGGGAATTGGGAAAAACTGAAGACCTGTGTGTGTGAACATTTATATTTTAATAATTCAGTTTTTCCCAATTCCCAAACCTAGAGAAAACAGCATTACCCTGCTTGGCATCAAGGCCTGCCTTAAAGGGACTTTTACTATAATTCAATATAATAAATTAATTAGTAATACACACACACACACACACACACACACACATATACATATGTGTGTATTACTAATTAATTTATTATATTGAATTATATATTCACATTTAAATATAACATAATACATATTATATTTACATTATTTCAGCAATAGTGCTAATCACGGTAAGTCCCCTAACATAGTAGCCAGTCAGTGAGATTGAAAGTGATGAATACCACTGCTCTCTTCATTGTAGTATTCATCAGACAGTCTTTGGATGTATTGACTGAAGCTAAGATTAGGCTGCACACTAACCATGTTATGACGAGGCGGCGGAAGAACCGGAGGTAAATGGTTACCTCCTCCAATCTTATCAATGGCCTCGGTCATTTGCGATCAGAGTGGATGGAACACTGTACGTGAGCAGCCAGCCAGCTATTGCAGGTGTTCAGATTGCAAGGTATTCATCTCTCTAGACCACTTTCTCTCTATTGCCTTCGACGCTAACTCTTGACTGCTTGCCTGACTCATATAACGCCGTTAATTAAGTAGCTGGATCCAATGAGCCCTTGTAGAGATCACTTCAAAGGGACCTTTGGAGAGATGCGGCACACGGTGACGGCACGCACTGGATTTATTGAAAGAAGGAGCTTGTAATTAGGTTGGTGGATGCTGCGTCTCAAAAGAAGTGGACACAACAACATTTTTTTCTTTCATTCTATCTCTCTCTCTCTCTCTCTGTCCATGAGGAGTGGCCAATTATAGCTTATTTATGGAAACAATCTGACTGAGTACAGGATGAGGATAATACAACACACGCTGATGGGTTATTATAAACATTTGAATATGAAATTGTCACGGTCAACGAAGCTGATTGAATGATGCTAAAGATACAAACACCGATCTTGCATTCAGAAGGTCTTTTAAGGACAAGTACCTTTATCTCCAGTCTCAATTACATCCACATCCCTGCAGGCCTGCTGCTGCAGATTATTTTAATGATGTGGCTGATAGGGAAACCAGCACAGGTGCACCAATAGCCCTCGCATACTATCAACATTAAATGTATTTTTAACCGGACCTGTCCAATGCCTCCCAAAATAGATGAGCAGCCTGTGAGATGTTTACACAAAACTGCTGTTCTTCACATCTAATGTGATGTGATATTGCTGCTGCCAAGGTCAGCTCAATTTCTGTAAGCTTCATAAGGCTCCAGGTGTCGATGGGTCAGATTTCACAGAGGTGCCTGATGTTTAATATTTTATTATCACTGTCTGTGACCTATGTCTACTTTAGATTTTACACTGTAAAAAAAAAAAAAAAACATGTTGTTGTACAGTATTGTTTAAAAGTATTGTTTTTTTTTTACCTTTCTAGTGCTCACCTAGGTTGCAATTATTTGTTCAAAATACTGTAAAAAATACATAAACAAAACAGAATTATTTAAAATCTTAGAAATCGTTTGTGACATTTATAAATCTGTTTACTGTCACCTTGGATCAATTTAATGCATCATTGCTGAGCAAAAGTATTAATTTCTATTCAAAATACCAACAAATTGTTGTAAAATGATGGCTCATTAACAGCATATGGTAATGTTTTGTTTAAATAAATTGCTAAAAAAAAGTGCTTCAAAAGAGAAGCAACACATCATTATGATGTTCAGTTTAAAAAATGGATATCCATTTTGAGATATACCAAAGATTACATTTAACAGTGATATTACATTTTTTTTTTTTTTTTTTTAACAAATAAGTCTTGTGAGCTCAGTGACCTTAGTGAACATTAGATGACTGGAAAGATAATCTAAATGTCAAAATAAACACTTTACAATAGTTAACATGAACAATATCAATGAACAATGCTTCTACAGCATTTAATATTCTTAGATAATGTCAATCTCAACATTTACTAATGTGTTTGTAAAATCAGAAGTTGTATTTGTTAACATAAGTTAATGCACTGTGAACTAACATTCCAGAATTTTCCTGCTGTTTTCTTATTTTATTAAAATTAGACTTCTACTTTTAGATAATGCACCTAAATGCACCTAGACCAATCTTCGCTTATATTTCACAAGTTTTGTACAACTAAAGTGAAACAACAATTTATTGTTAACACAATTTGTTAATTCATTGCTATTAGCTGATTTAATGATTCAGTTCAGTGTTAAAAATAATTTATTGCTTCTTGCCAAGTCTAATTATTTTGTTAATTAAGCTTTTTTTTTTTCTTTTTTTTTTTTGCCCCAGTTATTAATCAACTCACAGACCACTTAAATTCCTTCACGGACCACAGTTTAAGAACCATTGCTTTAGCTGATTTACAGATAATGAAAAGGCTTGCTTTATACAAGGAACTCAATCGCCCTTGAAAGTTAGCACGCTCTTGTCTGATCTAGACATGTTATCTAATGTTTTCCTTCATTAACATATTTGATCCAGTTACCGTAGCTGATTTGCAATGCATTAGATTTTTCTAGACAGAATGATTTTTTATGATCAGATGAGAAAACATCATGCTGTTGCCTAAAAATGGCCCTCCATACATATTCAGTAGCGGCATAGACTCCTTCTCTAATGAGTGTTGTTGAAGTCCCTGCGGCCAAAAATTACATCAATTCGCCAGCAAATAGGGATTAGATTGTGGCTAGGTGTAGTCGCAAAATCTTTTAATGTTAAGACTTGTGCAAAGTCTTTGTATGAACGCGTAATCAAGCCTTACTCTGCTTTATTGATTGGTTGTCTCAACTTAAGATCTGTGGATCAATGAAAAGGAAGAGGAACTCAAAGAAATGTTTGCACTCCCTCTGCTGGACAGACAGCTAGTGATGATTGAATTGTAATAATCTAAGTAATCATTCTCAGATTCACTCTGCTGTAAAGTAATGCTATTCTCACTGACCCTCTTTTTTGCTCTGTTCTGCAGTGGGGCGTCTCCTCATTGAATTCAGCTCCCAGATAACCCTCGAGCGAGTACAGAGAGAGAACCCTAATGTGACAGAAGGGGGGAAATACACTCCTCCGGACTGTCGGCCCAAACAAAAGGTGGCCATAATCATCCCATTCAGGCACAGAGACAACCACCTGAAATACTGGCTTCACTACCTGCACCCAGTCCTGCGCAGACAGAAGACTGATTATGGGATCTATATCATCAACCAGGTTAGTGTGTGTGTGTGTGTGTGGGGGGGACACTTGAGCTTTTACCTGAATCCATATATGATCTCTGTTGGAGAATCTGTGTTTTCAAACATGATATTTGGTTTCTCGCTGGTCTAACATGGATACTAACAATTCTAAGCAGGGCATTAGTTCAGCTAAGCTGGCAATTTAATGATTTACCAACCATCAAGTTTGAAAAAACAACTTTACCAACTTACTTCAATATACCAATATACTGTACTTCAAAATTATTTAAAAGTCTGCATGGTGTTCGGTTCGGGAGTTTGAAACCACTTCCCAAAGCGAATTTTCCTGAAAAAAATTGCTCTGGCTGGTAAATACCTTAGAACTACCATTAGTCTGTAGCGATCACACTATAGTCTTTGGTTTGGCCAGAGGAGAACTGCCCCCCTGACTATGCCCGTTTTCTCTGGCTTTCCATTTATGTCACCTGATGGTTTGCTTAGTTGGGTTATCATTGATCTTCCATAATTGATTAACTTTACACAGTTCTTGAACCAACTGAATCAGCAATGAATGGACTTCAGCTGAATAATGACAGAGCAGAACAAATCTCAACGCATATGTAAAATGAAGAATGAATGAGGTTCACCTTCTCTGGAGTATTATCTAGCTTCAATGTTAAACAGCTGCTTCTATTAGTACTACTCACTGTGCTACTCATATTGATGGAACGGCAAATATTAAAACCTCTAAACCTCTATAGGGGATGCTGTCAAGGTTAGCTAAAAATTGTAATGGGTAACAGGGAGCCAAGAGGCTGTTTTATTGAATGGAAGTCAATGGAGGAGATACTTTAAGGCCAATTCACACTGCTCCATTAGACTCTGACAAACACCAGATTACAATACGCCACTTCTCAGACATTCCACGATCCGAAAAAAGTGCCGACTAATGCCAACAAATGCCAACAGGGATAACACTCTGATCTGACAAAACCCACAAAGTGTCTGTTGCCGTTGGTCGGTGATGTGAACCTTGGCCTTTAGAATGCTAAATAAACTGCTTTTGTGCACAAATAGCTAATTAAACCCCATTTCACACAGAGATTCCGGAAAATACACGGATAATGTGACCCGACATTTGTCCCGGGATTGTTTGATTTCGGTTCATTCACACTGCCAGTGATTTCCCGGGATCTGTGAGTGCGTTCACACACAACCCGTAAAGATCCCTGGATAAGGATGAGACGTGTAACACACGCGTCGAAAACATGTACACGCGCATTCTGTTCCACAAAGCTGGTGAACGATTTCAGCTTCAGCACGAATATTGAGGAGCTCCTGGTCTCTGCTACATTTGTTCGTACTTTATTTGTTGATGACGAACACAAACTTTCTTTTAAGAGCAACAGAGTCGCGCGATGCCATGAGCGTCATCACTATGACACACCCCTTACGGCATTGGTCCTGGCTTTTGTTAACACAGTGCGCTTTCCGGGGCTGATTCTGGCAATGTATAGGTTCCCAACTCGGCATCGATGCCGGTATAAATCCCGGGTCGTGTTTGCATTCACACAGAAGGCGTTCTGGCAATTTCCCGGCAATTTCCCGGGATCAGCGAGCTGTGTGAAAGGGGCTTATGTAACATATTGACTTGTTTGTTAATCTGCAGATTTGCTATCAGATGTCCATTTTGTTTTTTCTTTTGGAACTCATATATTTAATTATATTTTATATAGATTTGCTTATTTTTCCAGTGATGTAGACATCCTCGTTGATATCTCCTCCAACATCTGGAAAAATACTACAAGAATAAGAGATCATTCTGTGGGGGTCAGGGAAGATGGTTAAGATTGAACTCTGATTTGGACCAAGCAATCTAACCATTATGTGAAAACAGCTGGAAGCATTGCTCTGGAAGCAAGCATTCCCCTCTTTCATCAGTCTGTTGTTCTTTGTGTGGAGTGACCCTGGAGGGGCGGCAGAGATGTTCATGGCCATAAGAAATCGTTAGCCTGCTTGCCACATTGTTGTCTGCCTAGGCCTGTTGTTTGGGTTAATGAGTGTGATCAAAAGTTTACAGCTATTCATCTTCAAAGTTTGCAGAGTAATGATGTGCCCTATCGAGCAGTGAGCGCTGTGGAGCAACAAAGAAGGCCAAAGTGTCTATAATTCATGGAGCATCGGCTGAACACTGGGCTAAGGTTACCTTTCTTAGAGCTATCACCTCACTAAACGCACGTCAAATATGTGACGGGTTGATATTCATCGTCACATTATAATTATTTTTTTTTATCTCTGTTTTAAAACCACTTAACAGGGACATAAAACTAGTCAGTTTTTTTTTTTTTTTTAGTACGGCCTTTAGTATCCTTGTGACAGTTGGAGTTGTTTTAAAATGCAAAGCACTTTAGATCTTCCTCAGGCTCAGTCTTACAATTACAGATAACTGCAGACTGAATTGGTTTTATCTAGTCTTGTCAATTGATTACAAATTTTAATCAAATTAATATAGGGTGAACATATTTTGATTACCAAAAACCAGAACACTCGGCCCAGCAAACTAGATACTCAATTGATACTAGAAGTTTACTCAAAGATGCCTTATTAATTTCAATACATTTAAAGTAGGTTAGGCCTCCTCTCTATGGATAGAAAATTGTTATATTACAAGACACAAATTCAGCATGTATTATTATGAAAGGTTTCAAAAATAATAAATGAAATAATGATTGAAATAATATCTCTTCTGTATTAAAAAATAAATATATAAATAATAAGTAGCTAAAAGAAATAACTCCAAATTGAACAAAAATAGCTCTCACAAACTTACAAAAACAAACTAACAAAATATATTTATATCGTTAGTTTTTACATGTAAAATGAAGCAAAGAAAATCCAGAAATGATTTTCCATTTTGCCAGCCAGTTGAATAAAAGATGCTAAAGAAAGATTGCAATGGATCCAAGCAATTTAGCAACAAGATAAGAAAAGCCTGTGGAATTGGACAATCTGCAGCATATTTAATTTAATTTTCTTTTCATTTTATGTAGGTAAATTAAACATGTAATTAGATAGCCTAATGTATGGGATAACGTTGTTGGAACAAATACTTTCTTCAACTAAAATAGAAGATAATTGCACTCTGTATTTCAATGTATCATGTTCTATTGTCAAATTGATAATGATCCACACGCACACAGCAGCCTTCAATCAAAAGTGAATTAAAGAACATTTCTAAACTGCACTTTATATCAAAACAGATGACCTAAACACTGGAGACACAAACTTTTGTTACATAACATATGTAGTGCTTTTAAAATCGGAAGGGTCCTGTTGTCTTTGTCTCTTAATGGTAGGTAAACAGTTACCCTGGATGTAGATACTTCAGCGTAAATGGATTCGTTTATCAAACACCTTGTTCTGAGAAAAGAGCAAACGCTGGCCTTCAGCTTATGTTGCTTATTCTTATTCTATTCTGTTATACTGAGCTGAGCATGGAAATTTACTGATACTGCTTGCATGAAAATGCAGACTGCATAGTGTCACAATTGAGCGTGTACCTGCATATGGTGTGCGTTCCTCACTGCTCAGCTCTGACAGCGCAAATAACTAGCTACACATTTTACATTTTTGAAGAGACCCACTCAACACAATTTGACAGAACTGCTTGAGTAAACTAAACGGATGAATGTTAGCATATGTTTTTTATTAACTGTTAAGTCAGAAGAGTAGATTTGTGAGACACTAAACTGAGTTTAAATAGAAAACTTCAAAAGTGTGGATAATTCTACAATAAGCTACCGTCAAAGAAATTGAATTACAACCTTTATGTTTTTACGAGCCTGCAGTCACCCACAACCCAACTGCTCCCACAGGCAATGTGTCTCTTCAAACCTCACCAGAACGAGCAAGATGTTCGCACATGACGCGTTCTTCTTAATTTAAAAATAGTTGGATGGAGCACAACGAAATGAAACAAAACATTTTCACCATTTTTAACTTAATGTAGCTCTCATGTCAGGACATGCTGAACAAGATATACAGTGAAATGGCTAAATTATTACGTTAATTATTAAATTAATAATTATTTAAATTATTAATTATTAATTCAGTTTTCTTTTTTGTATTCAGCAAAGATGTATATGTATTAAACTGACTTAAAGTGACAAAACTACTTTTGAATTTCCTATTCATTATTTCTAACCAGAAATAATTACATTTTCAATTATTACAAAAGAAAACAGTTATTGGCTAAATGGATTACTGTGAAATGTAGGCCAGTGATAAACTTACTGTATAGGTCCAATTATACATTTTTTTGACTAGTCTGCTACTGTATACTCATCACTTTATTTCACTTTATCGTCCTCTGGGGTCTCTTCTGTGCAAATACTGATTGATGCAGTTAATCTTTATTCATTTAACTAACTAATCAGTATTTCCTGTTATTAATTAGGGTGACCAAGAGTCCTGTTTTCACAGGACAAGTCCTGTCCTGGCCAAAGTGATGAAAATGTCCTGGTTTTCAAAAAACTGCTGGGAAAGATCTGCTCTACAGCAAAATATAGATGGGCATATAGGATGAGGAAGAAAAACTGGATAAAGAGGAAGAAAGCATAATGTTTTGGGCCTGTTTGTCATTATAAAAATTCCTATACTTATCACATTTTTTACCCCCATTTTTAGCTCTTCTTTTGTATAGAAATGTTATTCTCTTTTGCCATTGTATCAAGGATACCAGAGCACATGACTCTCTGTGTCATTTAAATCATATGATTTTCTTCTGTGGAACATAAAATAAGATATTTTTAACCTAGATATATTTAGCCTATGTGGACAAACATACTGTATATATATTGTGTTGCTCATAAGAATGAAAGTCATACGGTTTTAGAACGACATGTGGGTCAGTAAATGATGACAGCATTTTAATTTTGCAGTGAACTATCTCCAAGGTTGTCAAATTGTAGTAGATGATGTAATGATGGGTTTAAAAAAAAAAAGACCATTTTCCCAGAAGCTTGCAGTTCGTGA